CAACTTCATCTTGCTTGGATCATCAATCAACATCCTTATTACCAGCAATTAGGAAATAAGGGGGCACATTGCACTGGGAAAATCTGTAGTTAGGAATCTCTGCAAATTATTGAGGAGTAGTGATGTCAGTTAGAGGACCAAAGTGTGCCCGATTAAGTCATAGTCTTTTCAATTCCTTACTATGCATCTGAGAGCTGGACAGTGAATAAGGATGACAGAAGAAGAATTGACACCTTTGAGCTGTGGTGTTGGAGAAGAGCACTTAACATTCCATAGACTGCCAAAAGAATAAACAGATATGTCTTGGAAAGAATGCAGCCTAATTTCTCTTTGGAGATAAAAGATGATGAGGCTTTTGTGCATATTGCTAGGAGGGGCTATTCCTTAGAGAAGGACATGCTGCTAAGAAGAATGGAGGGTCAGTGAAAAACAGGTAGACTATTGACCAGGTGGATTGATGCAGTGATTGCCATAATGGGCTCTTGTTTGTCAGGAAGTATGAGGGTGGCACAGGATAGAACAAGGTTCAGATCATTTTATCATAGGGTCACTATGTGTTGTACTAGACTCAATGGCATCTAACAACAACAGAGAGATAGAATTGGAAAATGAAAAGGGAGAACTTGCTCTGTTTTTTTCAAGTTGAAAGAACTGAGAAACAAATTTAAGCCTCAAGTTGCAATATTAAAAAATGCTATATGTCCTATAGGGAGCTCTAGTAGCCTAATAGTAAGAAACTAATTGCAATCCTGAAGACATGTAGTTCAAATCTACCAGCTGTGTGATTAGAGAAGAATGGGCAGTCTCCTCTCGTGCAATTAATTGCCTCTAAAAACTTGCTGGAGCATCAGCTGTGGGTCAATTCTGACTAGGTGGTAAACAACATGAGCAATATATTGAATGACTCAGGAAGCATCAAAAGAAGATAAAGGGAACACACAGAGTCACTGTACCAAAAAGAATTGACTAAGACTGAAAAATTTCAGGAAGTACCATATGAGCTGCAACCAATGAAGGAGGACACTGAAGCTGCACTGAAGGCATTGACAAAAATATTAGGCCCTAGAATTGATGGGACTTGTTTCTATTAATAGGTGCATCTCTGTTTGTGCTTAACAGGTGCATCTCTGTTTGTGTTCACCAGTCTATGCTAGAGGACAACTATCTGGCCAATGGATTGGAAGAGGTCCATATTTATCCCTTTCCCAAGAATGGTGATCCAACTGAATGTGTAAACTATCAAACCATAACATTAATATTAAATGCAATCAAAATACTACTAAAGATCATTCAAAAACAACTAAAATAGTACATAGATAGGGAACTTCCAGAAGTTCAAACAGGATTTAGAAAAGGCCATGACACCAGGGATGTCATGGATCCCGGGTCAAAGCAAAGAACACCAAAATAGTGCCTATTTATGCTTTATTGACTATGCAAAAACATTTGACTGTGTGGATCATAACAAGTTATCGCTGACATTGAGGAGAATAGGAATCCCACAGCACTTAATTGTGCTCGTTGAGAAAACTATACCTACACCTAGAAGATATTATGTGAAAAGAGCAAGGAAATACTACATGGATTAAAATTTAGATGGAATTGCATCAAGGTTGTATTCTATCTCCATACCTATTCAGTCTGTATGCTGAGCAAATTATTCAAGAAGCTGGACTCTATGAAGAAGAATCTGGCATCAAGGTCAGATGAATACTTATCAGTAACCTGGACTATAACAGATGACAAAACCTTGCTTACTGAAAGGGAGGAGGGCTTGAAGCACTTGTTACAGAAGATCAAAGAACACAGGGTTTAATATGGATTGCATTTCAACCTCTAGAAAACAAAGTTTTTTACCTCCAGACATCATGATAGATGGAGAAAAGATTGAAATTGTCAAAACTTCATCTTACTTCAAAACAAAACAAAAAAACACAACTTCATCTTACTTCATCAACAATCAACACTGTTGGTACCAGCAGTCAGGAAATCAGGAGACATATTGCATTGAGAAATTATTTAGGAGTAATGATGTTCATTTGAGGACTAAGGTGCATCTGAGTCAGTCTATGATCTTTCCAATCACTTATGTATCTGAGAGTTGGGCAATGAATAAGGATTGACAGAAGAATTGATGTCTTTGAGCTCTGTTGTTGGAAAAAAGTACTGAAAATTCCATAGACTGCCAAAAGAACAAACAAATACGTCTTGGAGAAAGAACAGGAAGAGTGCTACTTGGAGGCAAAGATGATCAAGATTGTATCACGTTTTTCAGGCATGCTGCTAAGAGGGGCCCCTTTTCTGAAGAGGAACATGATGCTCTGAAAAGTTGAGGTTTGGCAGGGAAAGACCCTTAACCAGAAAGATTGACACAGTGACTATTGCAATGGGCTGTATTGTGTCAGGAAGTGTGAAGTGAGCACAGTATCGACACGATACAGAACCACTGTGCATAGGGTCACTCTGGGTTGTACTTCACTCGATGGCACCTAAAAACATCACCACCACGGTGTAGTCAATAGTATAATATTCTCTCTTGTTGACCATCTACGTTTCAGCATGATGTCTCTCTCCAAGAAAGTTTCCTTTTGAAAATATGGCCAAAGTTACCAAGACAAAATTTCAACATCCTTGCTTCCAGGGAGCTCTCTTGTTGCACTTCCTTCATTACTTTGCCCTTTTGAAGTTAGAAATTATCACAATGAGTTCAACAACTCGTGGCCATCAAGTTGGAACTGACTTTTAGCTGACCCTGCAGCAGGTTTTCAGGGGTTGAAAATTGCATCGGAGGAGAGTACCCATCTTTCAAGCATGAAAGTCAGTACAAGGTGTTTGGTATTATTGTCCTATTTCATGCATAATGAAAAGACAGGGAAATTAAACAACTAGTTCAAGGCAACTGTAGAAAGAGTTCAAGGCAACTGTAGAAAGAGTGTAGGCAATGTGAGCATGACCATACCCGACTTCTCCTAATTCCACAAGTGGGAACTGTCCCCATCAACAGTATCCACAACACAAAAGTAATTCCCATGAGATAAAACATGACCCCAACACTCTTCCACCTCTGAACTAATTCCAGCAGCAATGCTACTCTTCTACTGGGCCTGAAATCCATTCCACTACTTCACAGACCACATAGAGCCATACTAAGAGTAATGAGGTTTATTTTATGGAAGTTGTTATTGTTTCTGTTAGGTATCATCAAGTCCAGTACAACTCATAGTGACCCTATGGACAATTTAATCATTTCCTATCTTGTGCCATCCTTATCATCTCAAGTACACTTGAACCCACTGCTGCAATCACTATGTCAATCCATCTCATCAAAGTTCTTCTCTTTCACTGACCCTCTACCTTTCCAAGCATGATGTTCCTCTCCAAAGAAGAGCCTCTTCTAGTAATATGCCCAAAGTGTGTGAGATGAAGCTTTGTCATCCTTGCCTTCTGGCAAAGAAGCATTCTGATTGTACCCTCTCCAAGACACTTCTATTTGTTCTTTTGGCAATTTGGTATATTCATTAACCTTCTCCAACTCCACAGCTCAAATCCATTACCTCCTCCCACCCCATACTTACTTTATTGTCCAGATTTCAGATGCTGGCAAGTGTTTTAAACAACCATAGCCAGAATCAGATGTACCTTAGTCTTCAAAATACTCCATTGCTCTTCAATAATTTGGAGAAGTCACTGACTAGAATTGCCCAATGCAATAAGTCTCCTGAACTCCTGACTGCTAGTACAAGGGTATTGATTGTGAATCCAATTTAGATTAAGAGTAAATCATTAACCATATCAATCTTTTGTCCATCTATCATGATTTTGCCTGTCAGTCAAGTGGTGAGGGTTTGTTGTTTTGCTTGGGGTTTGTGTGGGGTTTTTTTTGTCTTCTTGATGTTGAGATGCAATTAATGTTAGAGGCTGTAGTTTTTTATCTTCTGCAGCAAATTCTCCCTACTTTCAGCAAGTAAGATGTATCATTTGCATGACTCGGGTGGTTGATGATCAGCCTTCTTATCCTGACCCTACATTCTTCTTCATAGAGTCCAGCTTCTTGAACGATTTACTCGGAATAGATTTAATAGGTATGGAGAATGGATACAACACTGGTGCACACTTTTCCTGATTTTAAACCATGCAATGTTCCCTTGCTCTGCTTGGCTAAACTGTTTCTTTGTGTAGGTTATAGGTTTCATATGAGTTTAGTTAAGTGTAACGGCAGGTGGTTTGAGTCCACCAGTTGCTCCCCAGGAGAAAGATGAATTGTCTTGTTCTGTGTGACTTATTGCCTCTGAAAACCCACTGAAGGACCAGCTATGAGTTGGTTCCAACTCTAAGACAATGATTTTGACTTTTTTTCCCCACTGTTGACTTTAACATGATTGTTGTTGTTGTTGTTGTTATGTGCCGTCGAGTCGTTTCCGACTCATAGCGACCCTATGCACAACAGCCCTAAACCCTGCTCTATCCTGCGCCAACATGATAGCAAAGTAATATTTATTTTTATATAATCAATGCCTAAGATAGACACATTTCACTTCCAGTTGCATATCGTAATGTTTCATACTCATGTTTGTTATTTGAATAAAGGTAAGACAAAAGCAGGAAAGAAGACAGACATTGTAGACGTGGTCTGCATCATTTTATCTTCTCCATTTATGATGAATGATGAATGTTGTCATGCTACTCACATGTCCACTGTTTCTAAATTTGTTCTCCACACAATCTCTTAACAAATGGTATTTCCCATCTCCAAGATATTTATTAGTGCTGCTTTGTAAAATATTCCAGTTAAAATTATTTAGTGAATGGTACCTGCATTTCTAAAGATATTCTAAAGAATGTTGTAATGACTAGAATAGTTTAAAACTTTCATGCTGGTGTAGTTATTTCTTACTCTATTCTCAGTCTATTATCTTCAGCTAGAGTTAATATTAATCCAATTTTACGGAAGACCTAGAATGCTTTTTCTGATCTATGTTTGGGTTTGTTTGTTTTTTCAGGATTGGAGACAGAAAATCCGAAATTAGGATTCTAAGTATAGGTGGAGGTGCAGGTATGAGTAATTTTTATTTTTGTTTTAATTTCACTCACAAGATAATATTATTTGATGACAATATCATTATTCTACAGGAAAATAATTTTATTTTCCTTTGCTTTTGGAAGAGATCAGCATATTATAATTAGTTAAACCAATGCCACATCCACTAAGATAAATGGCACAATAGATTACAAACTATTATTATAAACTAGAGCATCAGCTTTTATTGGTACCATCATATCCATAATAGATGCCACTTTCTTATTCTTTTCTTTTTTTTCTTTTTTTTTTTTTTTACAAATGGCAAAACTTAGAGGATAAATTTGAGGATCCTTTTCCTTCAGAATAATTGAATGTACAATAAAGTGAATTCTCACAACTTGTCTAAGGCAGTACTACCCATAGCATGGATTACTGTCTGGCAGCTGACCCATAAACGTTTATAGTTAATGAAAAGATAAGGGGTATGGCAGCAACAGTAACAGCATTACTCCTATCAGGTGAGCCTTGAACCTTCTACAATAATAAAACAATAAAACACTTTTTCTCCAAACTGCTCCATATAAAATACTGGATATATTTTCCTTTTTAAATTGCTGGTCTTTTAAAGTTAAAGGGAGGTCTAGTGGCCTAGTGATAAGAACCTGCACTGCAATCCCTAATGCACATAGTTCGAATCTTCCTGTTGCTCTGAGGGAGAAGGATAGGCAATCTCCTCTCAGGCGATAAACTGTCTCTGACAAAAAAGAAAAGTCTTACAAGAAAAAGTAATTAAAAACAATCTTCATCATGGCCAAGTTAATTGACCTTTTAATATAAAGTTAATTGACCCACTGGAGGTCAATTATGGGTCAGTTCTGACTTGATGGTACTCAACAACAACAATAACAACAACTAATATATTACTCTATACAGAAATGTCAGGCCACGTCTGCAGGGTGAGGGTGAGTGTCTTGGGAGTCTTAGTGTCATCTGGAGGCAGCCTTTTGTGTCTTGAAGAGAGGCCAGTATGAAACTCTTGGGGTGCTTGTGGCTTTCATTTTGCCACAAGTGGGTGTTGACAGAGCAGACTTGCCAGATGAACAAATAAGTAAATAATAAAGTACATTATCATGAATAGTATATAGGGTGTTTAAGATAAATTATTCTAGTATTGATTAGTGATATCATAAGTCCAAATGATTAATAGTGATGTATCACCAAAGAGTGTCATATTAATTTATTTAACTAAGACAGTCATCTCCAATGTGCTTTGAAAATGAATTTAGGAAGTCAAGAAGCAATGTGACTATCTTAGATAGTGTCACTTGTGCTTGGACAAGAAGAGAAGTCTTACAAGGAAAAGTAATTAAAAACAATCTTTATCACGGCCAAGTTAATTGACCTTTTAATATAAAGTTAATTGAATCTCAAATGCAAATTTATCCAGCTGCTTATAAGCTATCTAGTGAAAAGAACGTTTGGCCCGCTCAGCAGTTCCTTACATAAAGGTGGAGGTGGGACCTAATACTGCAAACTCGTCCAAACAAAGGGAGCACCACTCTGAGTCCTTCCGGCAGTATTCTTACATCGTGTTAATAACAGGCTCTGCCTGGAGGAGAAGCGAGGTGCCCTTTTAGGTCATCCTTTAGAAAAAATGTTTCAGAAACAGAAGAAGAATGAAAAAGTCAAGAAAAATTCAAATCATGAATACTTGGGTTTCACTGCTAAAGAAAGCTATATGAAATGACGAACGACACATGTAAATTCTCCAGGTCTAGGGACCCGTGGCATGAAAGAACCACACTTTTTGTATAACTGCACACTTCACTTGGCTTGAGTCCTCACTAGATTCTAAGTGGTGGTTAAGAAGTAGTCTGCCATGGTCCACCCACACGCACTGTGCAGCAGGTCAATGCACGACAAAGCAGTAAGGGGCTTGCTATCCCTGCCTTAAGAGAAATGATCTGCTCATATATTCTGTGGTCCACATGTTTGATATCATGTGTCTGGCTCCCATACTGTATCTCTTAGCTCTGCTTATTAGTCTTCATTTCAGTATCTGGGTTTCTCACATGTTCTCTTCTTGGCATTCCAAATACCTGCAGAATAGATTCAGCAAATCTAGGACACAAATATTGATTTTCGGTAGTGGCATGCACTTCCTAAACAACATGCCTCTGGAAACTCTAGGAACTTTGAAAAATGGTGGTAGTTATAGAAAGGGTTCAAGCCTGTTCATAGGGTTTTTATGAGTTGTGCTCGACTCAACGGCAATCAACAACAACAACTCATAATTATGCTAACATTTCTCCCCAACACACTGGAAATGCATTCCAAGATCAAAGTAAATACTCTATCAAATTACTTTTTTATAGCATTTAGTGCTTACGTCCCTCTGGGAGCAGTTTTGTTTTTCTTCCGACCTTGAGAAGGGTGTACAGTGCACCCTTTCTATCTTCTGCATCCTTTCTCTAGTCTGGAGAGAGAGAGTCTGCAGTTGGAAGGCGAATGTAAAGTTTTTGGTTCAGTTCTCAAGAAATGTTAGGAGTTTGAACTGTTCAAAGGATGGAAAACTGATGGCAAGTTGTTTTAATCTTGACTTTAAATAATATACTTCATCAATAGAATTTGATAATAGGCACTGTTATCCATAGAATATATGTTGAAAGGTTATTAAAATAAGTATTACATGACCTGAAAAGCCCAAGAGAGGAAATCAGGGCATGAGACCTAGAATCAGAAATAGATAGAATGCATCACTTTTAGAGCTCAAAGTGGGAAGTACGAGCTATATGTGTATACGTGAAATTGTGAGCTTTAATGAAGCTTTATTCAAGATTTTTAAATAATCACGCCATGTTAATTTCAGTAATTGTTTTTTAGTATTGAGAAGAATTGCATTGTATTCTGACTCTCATAGAACATACTTTTAGGTCCATTTGCAACATTGAAGATTCCTAAAATAAAACTATCCAATGGAGGTTCATTATTATTCAACTTTTAATGAGTGTTGTCTTTATGCTAGATGGTACATGGAGAAAAGAAAGCCTATTTCCCTTTTGGTAATTTATAGTACATTTATTTGTGCCTGGAAAAAAATGTTAGAGAAGACAATAATGGGCAATGTGTTCTCCTGGCTCTGGATTCTGCTTCAAAGAGAATTATTTTATTTGCTCCACTGTTCATGTTTCATGTTCAAATATTGGCAGATTTTATAAAAATGAAATAAAATTAGAACTGAGATAATCTCATTTTGCTTAGTTTATAAAAATTTTCCTTGTTGCAAATCTATTCAGTCAGCAAACCATCCCTAAAGCCATCCCAGCCCACTGTCATCCTGTGTATTTCCACTCGTGGTGATCCTCTGCTGAGTTCTCAAGGCTGTGCATCCTAACAAGTCCCACACAATAGTTGGAGGGTTTGAACTGCCAACCTTCCTATTAGCAGCAGCTCAACACTTAGCCTACAAGGCAACCAGGGCTCCATAAACACATCATATACCACATACTTGCATACGTGTATATGTGTTTAGACATATTTTACTAAAGCAACTAATGCATGAAGTAAAGATGTTTTGAACCTTGGAAGTTCTCTTCCTGACCAATCTTTCTAATACATATAATAAATATTGAGACTCATTGGGTGGTTTTCTTGTTCTGAAACACATACACACCTGCCTTCATATAGACGTTTAAAACAATACACAACCCCCTCTTCCTCCAGAGGTTAGATGTTATTAGCACTCTCATTTTACAAAAAAGAAATTTAAGGAGCTCCAAGACAGGGCAAAACTCAGGTCATTTGGCTTCCATCCGGTCTAATAAATTGCACCGCAAAGATGCAGAGATTGATTATTGACTAGATTACAGAGTATATGCTTAATTATGACTGATTATTTAAAAACAGAATTTTATCAAATTATTCATCTCATCTCCTTTCCTAAGTGACCTAGTAACATAGTAAGGTGACATAGAAAGAAGTTTAATATTTGAGCGAGTTAGGCAACAATAGGAAGGATATAAATAAGACAGGAACTGGAAGAGCCAGAGTGCCACTTCAAAATCTAGGTGGCTATGGGAAGTAAAGGCTAGTGTTTTACCATGGTACTTTGTAGGTAAACCAATAGTCTAAGTCAGAAGTTAGGAGTGATTAGAGAAATATGGGCAATTTGGGAATAATTTATCCACCTCTTCTCCAAATTAATTTTGAATACACAGATTGCATCTTCAGATATTTCCTATTGGATGAATGATTTGTATCAGCAGGGTCAATGGTTGGTGAAAGTTCAAGAAAGCAATTTCCTGGTTAGTATAAGAACTTGCTAATGTTCAAATGTGTTCAGAGATGGAAAGACATATTTTGGGAGATAGAACTATTTGTTACTATAGCAGTGTCAGCAGATTCTGGAAAAACTTTTTGTCAGATGTGTTAAAAAGGCTCAGGCTCTGATGTCTTGAGAGTTTAGACTAATATTAAAGATGTTTACAGCCGTAAGGCTCTGTGGTTTGTGAGCATATAGAAATAACATTTTTCCAAGGTAGTGTGGCTATCACCTCTTACTGACTGTATTGAGGAAATAGAATTTTTATAAGGTTTTTAGAGTAGTAGGAACTCTGGTAGCCTAGTGGTAAGAAGCGGTGACAGTTAAACTATATGTGATTCAAATTCATAAGCTTCTCCATCGGAAAAAAAGATGGGTAAACTTCTTACATTTGATATACACCCTCTGAAAATCCAATGGAGGGTCAGCTATGAATTAATTTCAACTCGATGGCACATAAAAAGAACAATAACTTTTATATATATACTACAGGTTCTGAAATCTTATACTTTAAGATGAGAAAGAATTGTTTTACTCATGTAAAACATGATAACAGATAATAAAAATACAGGCTCTGTGATACACTATTGTCATAAGCTCCTAGTGAATTGGTTACAACTTCTAGATGTCTTATGATAACAGAATGAACTGTTGCCAAGTCTCACATCCCCTCATAATTATTGCTGTGTTTGAATCTAGTATTATATCCACT